ATTTTCCTGACAAAGACACACCACAGATAAGTAGCTCAAGCAATGTGAGAAATTCCAAAATCTGACTTTCTGGCTCTGATAAATGGTTTAAAAAAAACAACAAAAAAAAAAAACAACATGCCTTCGAAACCCCTCCTGTGTGTGCTGCACAGTTGAACCCATCTGCACAGTGTTCGCTTTGTTTAATCACATCCAATTTGTATAATCACAGCATTTCCTTTGGTGAACAAAAGCAGCGTCTGTTTGATGCTGTTGTTGCCGTTCGGAATGAATGTGGAAATTGTAGGTGATAATGTGGTGGATATTAGACTGTTGGACCCAGAGTGCAGTCATTTGGCTTCGTGGCACTCGAATAATGCCACATAAGCTGTTTGGAGTCATTTTGGCTTCTTGCTTTGTAGTTTGGAAGGAAGCTGAAACAAAGCTGTGCACACAAATGTAGAAAAGCCTTTGTAGTGGTATTGTGACTGACACGAGTGTGACAGAGTTTGACTTTTGTGTTAAACTATCCCTTTACAGAAAGTTTAGAACCCCAGCGGCTCCGGCAAATGGGACTTCAGCTTTGTGTAATTTTATCTGACGTGTGCTTCGAACTTATTTCAGTGTCTCCGTCTCTCTCCAGGTGGCCATTGCTCAGTTCAGCGATGACGCTCGGACAGAATTCCAGCTGAGTTCCCATGGCAACAAGGAGGCGCTGCTGGAAGCCATTCAGAGGATCAGATACAAGGGAGGAAACACCAAGACAGGTTAGAAAAGCATATTCGCAGGATTATTGCGGTAATAGCTCATGAAGTTCAACAGCAGACGTAAATTCAGATGTCACTTTCATACCTCGGGTTGAATTTGCCTTGGCTTTCTGTCGGAAAAGTCCCACCGCAACATCTGTTAGCAGCTGTTTCACAACTTTTGATCATATCAGCAGAAAGCGTTTGCACATTTATCATGTGGATGTTAAAGGAGTAATCACCTTGTCGCCTGAAAAGTTGACAATTGCAAGCAGCAGCTGACAAATCAGTCTCACCGCGAGGTTTATTCGAATCCGAAAAGGGACTTCCAGTCACTTGAACATCTGTAATTTCATGATAACACTGCAAACTCGATTTATTGAGGAGGATTGTGTGATGCACTCAAAAGCTCCAGAACAGCTACTAACGGACCATGTGGTGAGAAAACAGCTGTTTCTACTGTAACCAATCTTGTATGTTGTAAATTTGTCTCGTCACTGATGTTTCCATATGTTTAATGTGCATTTTGAAGTACCGCGTTAGAAAACATTAATGGAAACTGCAAAATTAAAAAAAAAAAAGTCTTGCACAAAAATGTGCATGCTTGCTTGAGTTGGTTTTTGGAAAAAAAAAAAGTATGTTGCATAGTGGGAGATGGAAAGAGCTTTTTCTAAATAAGTTCTGACAGTTTAATATCGAACTAAAATGACTCATCAGCTGTTTCTGCTTCTTTTGTTGTGTTTGCCTCCGGACAGCATGAAACATGAACAATACCAGCTCATATAAAAGGATAATTACAACTTTCCTGATGCAAAAGACAATTCTTGAAGACTTCTATCCAAGTTTTGCTTGTTTCTTCTTCTTTGAGTTTCTTTTTTTTTAGAAGTTGGCAAACAGCTGCGGTGCATTCCAACACCTGTACTACCGCACTATATAGTACACCAGAGGAAGATTTAGTAAGTCCCGTTACATAGTATGTCAAATGCAACATGCTGTAAATACCAGGACGACCTTTTGCACCCTTTTGGATTTTGCAGTATATGCAAACCAGCATGCTTTTCTGGCTGTTCTGACCCAACAGTCCTCTGTGCAGCAGAAGATATGTCGTCATGTCTCGCTCAAGTAACAAGCCTGAGTTGCAGAGTGCACAGACTGTGATTAATACATGAGCACAATATTCAAACCTTAAGGTGCAATATTACGGCAAAATAGCAAATGAAATTGTGCACATACTGAATGCATCACTTTGTACGGGCAGCTGTTCTATGTACCGCAAGTAAAACGACAAAGTATAGCAGTAGTGCAGAGCTGGTTTTGTTTTACTCAGCTTACGAGTCTTTTCACCCCAAAGCAGTTAATGGAAACAAGAAATAAATCACTTCTTTTTTTTTTTGCCACATTTTAAAAGTTTGCTTCAAATTAGCTCGACAATTATATAGAAACATGGCTTATGTTTTATTCTGTATGCTCAATACAAACACTTCTCATCCACTTTATCACCAGTGTTGCGCACTGCAGAAAACAAAGGATTTAATTCAGGGTCAAGACACATGTCAAGCTATCCACAGAGATTTCAGTAGAAGACGATTCTTTGTTTGTTTGTTTTTGCTGGTGAGGGATCTCCAGACTGCATCCTAAGTCCCTGATAGATGGCGTCGTCCTTCTCTGCTTAGAAAGGGGACTTTAACCACCATTAATACCTACAGGGTTGGTTAGATGAGTTTGATCATTTTGGGGTGAATATATGTACTTGGGAATCGCCTTTAGTCAGTCAGAACTAAAGAGGCCTCCAGGCTGACAGCTAAAATCTTCTACTGAAGCCTGTGCTGCTACCTTGACCTGGACGCCTGAGAATCTGCAAAGACAAAACACAATGAACACTTTGGGTTGTGAAAATTCCTGCCGAAGTGTTCGTGACCGTGGTTGTGACTCCAGGTGAAAGTCTTTAATTGGATGCGTCGTGTGACTTTGCAGGTAATGCTGGTTGTTGAGAGCACTTTGCCTCCTGAAACCTGGGCCGTGGCTCAGTGTCAGCTACTTGTGTCCTTGACTTCTACCTACCTGCCTCCAGAGCTCATCGCACTTCCTATACCATCCTCATCCATTCTCATCCCATCTTCCTCTTCTCTGCTCTCCTGCCACTTGTCCTCTCCATCCTCACCTTGTTGCTACTTTCTTTTCCCATCTAACGTTTTACTTTTATCCTTCCCAGCACAGTTTTCATTTCTGTTTTTTTTTCAGCCTCCTTCCTCTCCATCTTCCTGTAGTTTCTCACGCTCTTCAACCCCACCTGCTTCCCAAATGTGTCCATACTGTCCATACATCTACGTTACTGTCTTGTGGTGTAACAGGAGGAAACAGGAGGTGTTTTAGCTGACAGGGCAGTGTGTGTATATGTGTGCATGTGGCAGAAAATAAACCATGAAATTTCATCTTCCCCACACAAAGAGAGGTAGGAGGCAGCCAGCTCTCACAAGGTTAGGCTAATGCTCACAGACTCACAGTTTCTCTGTCTCCCTCTCCCCCTATCTCTTCGTCTCTCACCCACACATGCACACTCGTACATGCACATCCACTACCCTCAGCACAGAATTAATCTTCTTCAGTAGCTCAGCCACAATGTCTGCTGCTCTTCAGGCTGCTGTGACTTCCAACACAGACACACACACACACACACACACACACACACACACACACACACACTCACACTATCACATATTTTAGGTTTTAGATTCTTTATTAATTTTTTTTTTTTTTTTTAAAGAAAACAGTAGAATGTGTATGTTTTATCTGTTTAGGTTTGTGTTGGCAAACTGATGCTTCAGATGAGAGTGAAGAACTTTTACCCTCTTTTATTTAATAAGGCCTCTGTCATGGTTCATGTTGGATACGTTCCTCCTCTGTGACTCTGCATGCCTAATACAGCACGAAAACATAATGCAGCAGCACAGTTTTAACACAAAAAGTCACAGCACTGTGCAAAATTGTAAGCATTAACCCTTAGTAACCCGAAACTCGCTGGCGGGTTTGAAAGGCGTGTTATTTATTTTTTTTAGATCTTCATAATAATACCATTTATCAAAGCTTAAAACTGTAAAAACAAAAAGAATCATCGGATTTTCATCTTGACAGTCCTTGAATTGCTTTAATCAAAATCATTTCACTTTTACATTCAGTCTTCACTAGATTTTGCACAAAAATGAAATGAGAAAAGAGAAGCTATGACTGCAACCAACAGTCCTGTGACAAATATCCAGGGACTGCTCGCCTGAACTGCAGGCTGTGTTTGCACAGAGTAGATACGAGGTAAGCGTGGAAACGAATGAGAGAGACTGAGAGCAAAAACAAAATAATTAAAAAACATACTTTGTTCAATAAAATAGATGCAGCATGGTTCTGAAATGATATCCAGTGGATCCAATTTTGCCAAGTTTATGGAAGATACACTCAGTACATCATCCAGGACTCCTTTGTAAAAAGAGATCAATGGGACTCACCTGGTTAAATAAAGGTTAAATAAATAAAAATAATTTTAAAAAAAAGGCTAGCTTGTAAAAATGTAAGAAATAAAATAGCTAAGGTATGTAGAACCACCATTTTTCCCAGAATGGCTCACATGTGGTTGGAAAAATGTCAGTTTAATTCTTTTTAATTTAATTTTATTTAATTTAATTTAATTTAATTTAATTTAATTTAATTGTATTTAATTTTATTTAATTTTATTTAATTTAATTTTATTTAATTTTCTTTTACAATATTTTATTTTATTTTATTTCATTTTGTAAAATATAATTAATTAATATAATAAATGTAATTTTTTTTTGTGATGTATGACATTTTTCTTTTGTTTTAATGCACAAAAGATTTGCCTCTACGTCTCGCCGTGGTGTTTCCACAGAGGACTTTAAATTGCAGAGAAAAATGAGCCAAAATGTGACATGAGCAACAATTCAGAGAGGCTCAGAGAGTTGTGTGGGAATCCTTTCACAGAATAACGCCACGAATAGATACGTTTAATTAAAAGTTGTCCATTATTGCAACTTCATACAACAAACAGAACTATCATTTGGTGCTTTTCTGATGCACAAATTCTCCCACATACACAGTTTTTCTGGGAATTCAGTCTTTCCGACCGTCATCTGTCTCTTCATATAATCCACGCTGGCTCCGTGATGTTGAGATCAGGGCTCCGTGGGGGTCAAACCATCTGCCATGTGACTCCTTCTTCCTCCTCTCACTGAAGATAGTTTTTCTATGACCGTATTTTCGGTGTCGTTTTCATGCTGCAGAATGTATTTGGGACCTGATCAGATGCCTCCCCGGTGGTGTTGCATGAAAAGGAATCCAAACCGACCCAGTGCGTGAAGTTCTTTCACAGCGCTGGTGACTGAACCCAAACCTCTTTGCTTACATCTTACTCCTCTGGACCACTCAGAGACGGGCCAGCGGTTTCTCTGGCTGCTCTTTTTCATTCTAAAAGACCACAAATTCTCCTCAGACACCCCATCAGGGCCCTCACTGTGTCTAAATCCCACAAAGCCCCCAAATAAAAGACTGTAGCTTTCTGTCTCTTAAACCTTTAGCCTCTGCCAGATATATTTGTGTGAATACAACTGCTGGCCAACCAGAAACCCTGCGGCTTTAATGCCTTTTTTATGTTTACTGTATATGGTTTGCTTTATGGCTTCTCTCTATCGTGACCCTTTGGCCAAGCAAATGCACTCAGGAACTTGTATCATTTCCAAAGTATTTCAGGGTTTTTTGGGTTTTTTTTTTGGAAATGTAGATTTGCACTACTTATTCATCTTCAGTCATTCTGAGTAATTTCGTTTGAACCTGCTTAGTGCTCAGCATCTGGGAGCTTCTCCACACTAAAGTCACCGCAGGGGCTGAGATTCTTGCTCGATGGCGCTGCAGATGATATTGCTTAAGGAGAAGCTGCTTATTCACCTTTTTCAGCAAACTTCTAGTCATAAGCTCCCCTTTATATATCCAATTTATAAACAGTATGTAAATGCTGC